GGCTGTGTGTCTGTATGTGGGGCCGCCGGTGCAGGAGAGCTAGTGGAGAGTTATTTAACGTAAGGTAATGCAGGAGGGAGGGATCTCTGAGGGTTGACTTCAAGCAGGGAGTTCAGTCCTGTGCCTGGGAAAGAGTGAGATAGTACTAGGAGACCCAGGCTGTGAGATAGCAGGGTGCAGGTGTTTCTGGGTGGACACGGATTAGCCAGAGAAGGTCAGAGGTCAGGCCAGAGCCGCTTGACGCAAGTCTGACCTCCTAATTCAGGTGTGTGCAGAGATTCAGCTTCAGAGGTAAAGTGCAGAACTAGCAGAAATCTTGAGCCCTGCAGCAGCTCCAGCGTGCTGGAGATCTGTCAGTCTGGAGAATGTGTTCGGGGCAGTAATGCATCCGACATCAGCCTAGGGGGGCTGAAAGCCAGTTTAACTGCCTTTGCAAGAGCTTTGCTTCGTACATAAGAAGATCTTCTATATTCCTGCGTCCAAAGACTCATTTCCCCCACTTCAATTAGTTTTAGTTAATTTGTTGAAAACTATTTTCTTCTCTCTTGGTCCTGGGGATCAGAAGTACTTTATGGATGCATAAGTACTGTTTAAGACTGTAGCAAACCAGCATCTCGGCTCGGTCTGTTTGCAGCTTGTTCAGTAGGTTGTCTGTGCATGGTATTTTTATCTAAATTAATCAAGTCACAAGTGGGAATTTCAATACATCAAGTACTGTGTGAAGGCATTACTTACTATAACGTTACTGCAATTATAGCAGTTCAGAAACATGGGGGCAGGGAAGACAGCCCCCCCGCAAGAGAGAAACTGGTGTCCTTCAGCCATGTTGACACTGATTCTGAAGTCTGGTGTAGAGGCAGAATGGCTACCCTGGTACACTCATGTATAACAACTGAACATAGTGTATGAGCACTGCCACTGTGGCATACTGTATGAGGGAAGGCGCTGTTTCATTCACAATGCAGGAGAGTCAAACAAAGGAGAATTGGGCCAGATCAGACAAACGATAAATATAGAGAGATATGCTACGTTTATTTCTGATTAATGATGATTGTTTTTTTTATTTTCACTGTATTTTGCCTGTTCCATCCCAGCCCTACCCCCACAGGAGTCACCCAGGGAGCCTGAGGGGGAGAGCTGAATTAGAAAATAGAAGAGCTACCTCAGCTCTGTGCTGGAGTTCATGCTGCCAGGTCACAGTGGAACTACATTCCTGAAAGAGGATTGGTTCTCAAACCCAGAAACCTGCATGACTCTGCAGAGCAAGCTGGGGTATGCGAAAAGACAAATTCCTAATGCAAGAAATTGTATATGGCTAATGAAGTGATCTTATCTTATCTTAGAGTATGCGACGCAGTTGGACTCCATTGAACCTGCGACCCCCTTCTGCCCGAGACAGGGGTCAGAGGTCACTGCCCATTATGCAGTGGATGATTTTCCAGTGGGGATCCCGCAGGTTGGGTAACAGGACAATACCTCATAACATCCCAGCCAGTCTACCAGTACGTAGTGATGGTGTATTTTCAAAGCGAGCACCCAACACATTTCATCGGTTACCTCACTCATCTTCTCTCTCCGACTGACCTGGCCCTCTGACTTTATTAACCACGTGACTGCGAGCAGCCCAAGTCGGTACTTCAACGTTTCCCCAAGTCTCCACACTGAGAGAGTGAGTCAGTAAAGTGCAGAATCCTGCCCAAGATATTCTTTCTGCAACAGACGAAATCTTGTATTCATGATTTTCTCCTGATTGAAGTAATAACAGTCCTTATTAAGACTCCTTTTGTCGACATCCTGAATATCCAGGTATAGTCAGTAAAAGCTATAGCCTGGATGAGCCTCCATTCCCCTGTCTCACTTGCAGCCAGATCCACGCAGCAGACAACTGCGCACAGACTGTTTCAAAGACTGAAGTTCAGCGGTGCTAACTTCTGGCAGGGCTGCGCAGAAACGCTAGGCACTGCTCTCCTCCCGTCTTTCTGCACTGGGAGACTCCCGGGACACAGAGAAAGCAGCTGCCAAGCACCGTCTTCTCAGTGGGAAGTCTGAACTCATCTAGGATGTTTGGCCAACGGAACTTTGAGTAGAAAACTTCTTTATTCTCATTATAATCCTCGTTGAGTTGAACTATTATTCCCAACAGGTTTGATTGTTTAATTCACGCTTGCAAAAACAGAAGCGTGATTTAACTATATGAGACTGATAAAACTAATATGTTACAGTTATATTAAACTCTGAAGCTACTAACTCTGAATGATCAGCCTTTCATATCACAGAAGATCGTTTCACAAGTTTCCTCTTAAACATAAGAAGTTTGTTGTTTGTTATGCATGTTTTGGTTTAATATCAATAAATTGTATGTAGTACAGTATATTTAGACTCTATGTTCAAGACTGTAAAATTTTATTTCCTAAGTCATCAAAGCACTCTCGCAATTTATTGTTCCAATTTCTAATTGTTACAGTAAAATAAAACATTTTGCATCGTTACAATATTTACCATTGAACTTTATTTCCATGATTTAAAAAACAAAGCTAGTAAAGCAATAGTTCATAGTATATAGTAAAAACATAATATTAAATTCTCTTATGGCTCCCTAATGGTTTTAGTTCAAATAAAACTATAAAAGATATATGTGTGAATGGTACACAAATGCCTATCACTGCATGTGAGCAAAGAGTTAGGGGTGTCTGTTGATGTGGCATCACCTTTTGACTGCTGCTAGGCTGTGACGCACCATCAAAATCGGTGAAAGAGCTCAGGAAATCATAAGAACTGTTAGAAACAAGAGGAGGCCATTCAGTTCATCCAGTCTGTTTTGTTAATTAAGGAAAGGATCTCATCTATCTTTACAAAGCTGGGGTATCGGCTTCAACCATGGCTGGGCAGCTTGTTCCACACTCCCACCACCCTTTGTGTAAAGAAGTACCTCTTGTCCTGACTGGAATATCTCATCCAGCTGTTTGTTGAAAGATGCCAGGGTATTGGCTTTAACAACAAGGCTGGGCAGCCTGTTCCACACTCCCACCACCTTTTGTGTAGAGAAGTGCTTGCTCGTTCAAGGTTGAGGCCGATACCTTGGCTTCCTTTGTCAGACTGGGAGGGTTAACAGGCTGGGATCTTGGTCTCTTGTTTTTTATTTTAACTGTTTCTATTCTAATAATAACCTGGAATAACTGCTCACTGGTAGGGTTGACATTATTTCTCTACTGTGGTTTTTCTTCACCAAAATATTATATCTCACACCAACACAACTTAAGGGGGAAAAGAGTTTCGAAACAGCGAGTAATCTATGTGTGATTTTGAGTTCCAGGAGTTCTCTTCTTCGTTTCAAAGGTGTCTGAGTGAAAGGGGTGATGGTGCTTGTGTCCTGGTACTTTCAGCAGGATCGTATGTGTGTATGTGTGAGCAGTGCAACTTTCCCTTGTTAGTTTAATACTGCATTGGGTGGTTTTAGGTTGTACTGGTGTCATGCAGTTTGTCCCTGCCTCCACTAGGAGGCGCTGAGTCACTTCGCCTGGTGTTGCTTCCTCTGCCTGGCCTCTCTGCGGCAGTGCAGGTACACGTTGATGGGATGAATGAAAGCCAGCATGCTCAGGCCGATCAGAGCCACATTGACCTGGAACCACAGAGTGAGAGGGAAATGGAAGAGCTACTGTAAAATATTATACATTACAGTATAACACGCAGTAGTACTGCACAATACAGTGAAGAGCACAGTGAGTACTTGTTTGTACTGTTTAGTTCAGTAGTATATGGTACAGAACAGTGTGCACTGAAGCACAGTGTAGTAGACTACAGAGCAGTGTAGTCTAGTACCCTCCAGCGCAGAGAAAACAGCGCTGTATGCTAAGTAATAATATTTCCTGACACTTATATAGCACATTTTCTGGACAGTCCACTCAAAGCGCTTTATAGCTAATGGGGATCCCCTCCTGGATGGTGCTCCAGTCTGCTCCCCACACACCAGCTCCAAGTGTGGAGTTTAGCAGAGTGATGAAGCCGGTTCAGAGATGGGGATTATTAGGAGGCCACTGTAGTGTAGTACAGACTAGTGTAGTCTAGTACCATCCATCCCAGAGGAAACAGCCCTCTGTGTGCACAGTGTAGTAGAGTACAGAGCAGTGTAGTCAGTGTGGTCTACTCCACTCACATAAAGAGGGTCCCCCTGAAGGTACCCCTTCACCAGGGCAAAGCAAGGGTACTGCAACAGAGAGACGATCGCCGACAGTGACATCACCAGACCGTACAGCTTCCCGAAATGTGCCGGGGGGAAACTGGAAAGAGAGAGGTGAGAGGTTACTCAGTTACCACATGTGGGATGCTGGACGTATCCAGACGGCCAGGCCCTTGTTACACAACAGGACCCTTCCAGACCTCCTGACAACGAGCCAGCCCAGGTATCTCTGAAACTCAACCAGGGAATATCTCTCGACTTCGAGCAAACTCAGTGACAGATCTTCTTCAGATGCCACATTCCCTCCGGGATTTGCATTTGAAATGCAGTAAGGTACCTCTGGGTGTGTGAGTAGGTCTGACTGCACCCGTGCACAGGGCCTGATAAGCCTGTCCTCTGACTCTGTGCACTTCCACGTATGAGGACCTGTGAAATATCTCTCCCCCCCGCCCCCCCCAAAGAAAACCTTTGTGAATTGTATTTACATATTTTAGCTGCCCCATTTAATGGCTCTGACTGCTTATTTTACAAAAATGTAAAAGAACACTAACTCACTCCCACTGTGGGTGTGTCTGATAGTGTCAGTCCCAATGTGGGCATGTTAGATATAGTGCCATATATATAGATATATATGGGTGTGGGGGCGTGTCTGATACATTGTCACTCATCCCTTGTGGGCGTGTCTGATACAGTGTCACTCATCCCTTGTGGGCGTGTCTGAAACAGTGTCACTCCCACTGTGGGCGTGTCTGATACAGTACCACTCCCACTGTGGGCGTGTCTGATACAGTGTCACTCACCCCTTGTGGGCGTGTCTGATACAGTGCCACTCATCCCTTGTGGGCGTATCTGAAACAGTGTCACTCCCACTGTGGGCGTGTCTGAAACAGTGTCACTCCCACTGTGGGCGTGCCTGATACAGTGCCACTCCCACTGTGGGCGTGTCTGATACAGTGTCACTCACCCTTGTGGGCGTATCTGAAACAGTGTCACTCCCACTGTGGGCGTGTCTGATACAGTGTCACTCATCCCTTGTGGGCGTGTCTGATACAGTGTCACTCACCCCTTGTGGGCGTGTCTGATGCAGTGTCACTCACCCTTGTGGGTGTGTATAATAAAATGCCATTCCCACAGTGGGAACCTTTCTTAACCTTTCCGGTTCCTTTGCTACAGGAATGTCACATGGTGTCCCGCAGCAGCTCGGAAGGCCGATTGTACTGCAGTGTTACTGGTTGGGGAGGGAGCTCTTCCTCTTCCTCTTTCACTGAGGTATTATTCTTCCCCCTGGTCTTTTCCCCCTGTGCTTCACAGATGTGCTCCACTTGATCCCCAGTACTTCAGTTCCCTCTGTACTGGCAGGGCACCCCGGAAATTGCGCCCGTCTCAGCTCAACTCGGAAGTTGCGAAAGCAGCTGCGTTTGCAGCATTTTCGCTAAATAGCTGCCCCCCCCCCCGTAACTTGCCGGCTCTGCAAAGGAAGGTTCTAGAAACTCAATCCGATTTCAACTCGGCCCGCACTGCACTCCTCGCCCTCGGCCCGGCGGACTTGAGAACGGGCACCGCCCGCGCTCTGCCCCCGATTTGAATAATAACGGTCCGACGTTTCCACAGGACCGCCGAGCCCGACGGAGAAGCGGCGCGGCCCGTTCACTCACGCGACGGCGATGAAGGCGGCGTTCCCGCCGTACAGGAAGGAGCGGTTGACGACCTGCAGGATGAAGGTGAGGTACTGCAGGGGCAGCAGGGGGATGGAGGCGCACAGGGAGAACAGCAGGCACTGCAGCGCCGTCAGGGCCAGCGACAGGACGGCCGAGTGCAGGTCAGCCTCCCGCTCCGGCCGGCCTGGGAAAAAACCACCTCAGGGGAACTGCGAAAAAAGCTTGCGAGGCATCTCTGTGAACAGTGGAGTGACTCTAATTTGTCTCTTCCTTTGTAGTTTGCATGTTACTGTGCTTAGTGCAAACTCATAAGTTAAAAACTGTTTTTTGAAGACAGTTTTTTTTTTTTTACCAAGATGCTAACTAAACTAACTAATTTGTTACACTGTGGCTGTGTTAAGCTGCTGTTGCACTGCAATTTCCCTCACGGGATCAATAAAGTATCTATCTAAACACCGCTTTCGAGTGCGAAACCTGCCCTGAACTAATTTTCCTGACTTCTGACAGTCCTTTTGGGGAGGTTTTTAAAAAGCGGTCCGGTCCCAGACCGTCTTGACGATTATGGAGTCCCGGGGTCACCTTGCTACAAGACGGCCCTTCAAGAAACGTGTTACCAGACGGCCCGACCCGGGGCAGGGCTGTCTGCCGGCTGTCGCTCACCCTGAGTGCCGGACTTTGGCGCCCTCTTGTGGCGGTCCATGATCATGCCGTTCCAGGGAGCGCACAGCACCCCGCAGAGCTGGGTGAAGGCAAAGGCGTTGGTGTAGCGACTCACTGACAAAGAGAGAGGGATTAATACCGTTAGTAACAGTGAGGAAACTAGTGAACTAGTGACAAGTGAAGCATTGTTAACCGATGAACCAGATGACGTCTTGCCTAAAATCTAAATTTTTTTTTTAAAGATTTCAGACAAACAGTGTGTGTGTGGTTACCCAGTGTAGGATCATTCTGGGTCAGACGGGTCAGCATGGGGTTGAGGGTGCCGATGAAGAGATAGTGTCGCAGCTGCATCACAGAGATCCAGGTCAGGTGCCACAGGAAGAAGAAAGAGAAAACACAGCTCCTGAAACTGGGCTCGTCTAGAGATAGAGCAGAGAGAGGGGTTAATACAGTCCAGACACACTGACTGGACACTACAGGAGATTAACACTGCACTGAGAGAGAGGGGTTAATACAGT